AGGGGTACTGTGCAGTATCTCCCTATCTGAGTTGGTATAAGGCTTCATTCAGTTTTTGTCACCTTATTCTTTAGAACAGATTGGTCACCTGCACACCCCCGTGAAAAGAATGGAACAGCCGTCATACGCATCTTTCATAGTGTTATTGGGTGAGACCACTGAAGTTTGGGAGTGTGTGAAGTGAAGTCCATTTGAATGTGTTTCATGATGTTATAGACTTTATATAGCTTATAACTAGTGTCGTCCAGGAATGTTGGTTTCTGTGTATGTTCGTCCTGTACCATGCCATTTTTCTAGTAGAAATTAGATTTGAAATTTACCTGTGTTTGAGTCTTGTTTTTTTTATGGAAATGCAATATTCAAATCAGCCTGATGACGATTTTTATTAAGGTCATGAGGAAAAAGGTTGGGGTCAGATATAATATGACAGGATAAAGGTTAAGCTGGTGTTACACCAAAGGGTGGTTATACCGGCTATACAGATGCAGAAGCTGGTGTGTTACGCCGAAGGGTGGTTATACCGGCTATACAGATACAGAAGCTGGTGTGTTATGCTGAAGGGTGGTTATACCGGCTATACAGATACAGAAGCTGGTGTGTTACGCCAAAGGGCGGTTATACCGGCTATACAGAAACAGATGATGGAAGTCCAACCAAGATAAAAATGTGAAGTTGTACAAAGTAATAGTAACGGTATTACCTTCAAAAGACCAGGATCTCCAAGAAACAAGGAAAATAAGACAAAAAAAAACACAAAAAAAGTTACCTAAACAATCTTTATTGGCCAACTCTAACACATAACAATTCCTTCGAAAAATACAGTCCTCCTATATTGCAAGGCAGTCATAGTTCTCTCACACACGCAGCGTGGCATTGCAAAAACCGCTATGCGGAAATGACCAGCATACAAACCACCCACTAGTCCCCTTGTCTAATAGCCTGGGTGCCATCCTCCGTAGTATTCGCCCGCTCCCTTATGTCACTGGCTACAATGGGGTCTGGACTTGCTGACATATATAACGTCTGGTGATGACGTCACATACTAAGCTAGCCCGAGCGGCGCGATATTAGAATAAGATCTATCTTAACGCCGTTTGAAGGTCCGAACGGCTTACCTAATAATTATGTACACACCTTTCCTACAAGAGCCCCCCCCCCAAAAGGGGCTTAGACGAGTAGGACCAATCAGCATGCTCGTTCAAAATCTGAACGAATATGCAGATTCCAGACGTTATATATGTCAGCAAGTCCTGACTCCATAGTAGCCAGCAACGTTAGGGAGCGGGCGAAAACTACAGAGGATGGCACCCAGGCTACATCTCTAATACATTAGCAGTACAGTTACTAGAAGATTCTTTCATCGGTGACAAAGTTGGAAGGATAAGGATACTGACCTCCAAATTTCCGATGGCTATCAGTCCATCTTCTTCACGGAATGGCCCTTATTACTCCGGAGGGAGGCAACAGGGGGTGAGGCCCGGCAGACCGATGCAAGTCTCAGGCCTAGTCTCGCGCTCTCGCAAGATTAGGCCATTCCGTGAACAAGATGAACTGATAGCCATCGAAAATTTGGAGGTCAGTATCCTTTTCCTTCCAACTTTGTCACTGATGAAAGAATCTTCTAGTAACTGCATCTATACGTGACAAATGAATCTCTTCAACGATATTAGCAGTACAATTATCATATAACATGGTACAAAAACTGCCGGCAAGCCAGGACCAAACAAAATATATTTAAACTCCTGAGGTTCAGCCCTGGCTTTAGCGAAGAATAAACAAGAATAAATCACAAAGACTTTTACGAGGTAAAAAGTTTATGCCCTAAAGGCGAGAAGAGCGCGACAAACAAGTCTCCTGCTCGCAAATCGAGAGCTAATTATATGTAAATGCTGCGAACACTGGATCAGCTGATGACATTCTGTCGCTAACACTCGTCAACTGGCAAGCTGATGCCAAAAACGCAGCTGCAATGAATATTTCTCAACTTAAGTGCTTGTCTAAAGCAACCGCTGATGCTGCAATAATGGACAATTCTGAATGCCTAAAGTAGCAATTGTTCCAATTCTGGGTTAATATTTCAAATGTAGAAGAACCAAACTTGGCTATACCCTTCCATACCTTAGTCCTCTGGATGCCCGGTTAGTTACACATGGCAGAAAACTCTGCTCCTAAAAATAGACGTACAAAATTACTTTCCCGTCGTCAAGTCTGCGCTACAGAATGCTCAACATCCAAAAATCGTTCGGTTAAATCTCAAATCTCTCTTTTCTGTTACAATTGTGTACAACTTTCGGCTACATGTTCAAGTCCAAGGCACAGTCAGTTTGTAAAAAATATCTCCTTAGTCCGACAAACTCTACTAACAATTTCCCATTTGGAAGTTGAACTCTTCTTTTTTTTAACAGCCCTGCCTTCTCACGACTTCTGAATTATATTTTATCTGTTCTACTTTAGCTGCTACGTCTTTGGTCGATGCATTTCTATAATCTCCGAGCAGATCTTCGGGTGGCAAAAAAGACAGTATCAAATTGGCCAGGCAGTATCCTGTCTTTTGCCACCCTAGGATCTGCTTGGAGATTAGCATTTCTACAAACCACAGGATTACAACATTATAATAAACACCTGCTTAACTTTCTGCAAATTTAACTACTGATGTACATTTGACTGGTCCATGTGAATGTAAATTTAAGTACATTTCAAGAGTATGATTTTTTTAAAAAGCTGACATGACATTTTAAACAGTTCCCGCTGCATATACACTAATTTCTAATGGCTTGCAAAGTCTAGACAACATTCATTTTTCACCAATTGGACTTACCCAAATGTTTGACTGAAAAAGTATCTTCTTCAAATAATTCTGACACCTGATTTAGAAGACTAGTGGTTTTTCAGTCAAAAGTTGGGAAATTCCAATCTTAAATGTAGGAGTTAAAATCTCAGAAATCTTGTTATACCATTGAATTCTACAAACAGTGATGAACTGTATCATATAAACAATGAGCAATTCCTGGTATTTTGTTAAACTTGTACAACAAAAAAAGCATTTTTACCCTGCAGTAGTTTGGTAGTATAGCTTAATCTTACTGTGCGCGAAATGCTTGATTAACTGTTGCATATTTCCGTATACATTATGTTGATTGTGTTCTTAGATGTTGGAAATTATTTCCTTACATAGCTACATTTTGTAGTAAGTCTCCCATAGCTAAAACCTTATATGCTATGTATGTGTATATTTTTTTCCCATTCACATGAAAATGTTACAGTTTACTGGTACATGTATCTACTATATTGAACGGCAGTATTTGGAATGGTAGTAATTTTACAACTTGTCGTGACGTCATTATACAAAACCTTTCTTGATTAACCTTCTCCCTGCTGCCTAACCCCGTAGTCAACACAGATTTGGTGCTAACAGGTTAACTTAGCAGTGAAGGGTCACCATGGATATATAGATGGAATGGATGGAACTTCAGCTACGAGAAAGTCAGATGCAGAATAAAAAGACTGGAATGTTGAAACAAATTAACCCCTTTCCTGATACTTCTGTCATTACAGGTACTGATTTTGAGCACAGAAACATCCTTAGCAAAATGCAGGTTACCTATAACAAAGTCTTACTTTCTGTCTGAGTGTAAAGCAAGAGTGTGCTGAAACATTCTACAGTTTTGCTGGATTAACAATGTAACATGAAATCGGACAGGAAAAAATGTACGGATAACAATGACAATGGAATTTTTTTGTCTGTCAGCATGTGATGTTTTTAACGATGAGCAAATCTCGCAAATTTTGGACAACTTCTTTTTGTCATCCTCATTTGAGGTGAAGCATGATGTTTTTTCTCAAGTAGCTACTAGTCTCAGTAATACCCTGGTAGGAAGCTAACGTCACCACCAAGTGTTAAAATGCATTGTCAAGTTCTAACTTCGGGGCATTATCAAAAGACACCTACAGCAGTGCTTCAATAACAACCTGGGCAATATCAGTCTAATAATACCCTGGTTTCTCCAATAATGCCCTGGTAGTCTCTAATAATGCCCTGGTTTTCTCCAATAACACCCTGGATGAATTTATGCAATATTTTCTCTGTACATCCTGGAGAATTATTGAAGTTTTAACAACAACCTAGCTGACATTTCAGTAATGACTAGGGTATCATTCAACAACGCCCTGCAAAATACACAATAATAATAATAATACCCTGGGTATGTGTTATGTTTCAATAATACCCTCTGTGGCGGTCTATAACACCCTGCGTATTGCCGTGAGCTGCTGTTTACTTGTTGTGCTGTTTGTTGTTGTTGTTGACTTGTTTATCTGCCTGCGCTGTACCCAGGGAACAGCAGGTTCAGGATGGCCTGGAGCTCCTTGTTGGTCGCCATGCTGTACCCCTTCCCAAGGTCGTGCCGACAGGCGGGACAGCAGTACACCTGGGCGCGGAACGACCTCTGCAGGCACGCCTGAAGGTCAAACAAGGAGGCAAGGTCAAACATGGTGGCAAGGTCAAATATGGAGGCAAGGTCAAACATGGAGGCAAGGTTAAATAGGGACAAAATTTACATGTGTGGATGTTCAGCACCAAGGACAGGCATGTTAGACTGTGTGTGGATGGTGTTCAGCACCAAGGACAGGCATGTTAGACTGTGTGTGGATAGTGTTCAGCACCAAGGACAGGTATGTTTACCTGTGTGTGGATGGTGTTCAGCACCAAGGACAGGCATATTTGAGTGTATGTGTGGATGGTGTTCAGCACCAAGGACAGACATGTTTACCTGTGTGTGGATGGTGTTCAGCACCACGGACAGGCATGTTTACCTGTGTGTGGATGGTGTTCGGCACCAAGGACAGGCATATTTGAGTGTATGTGTGTGGATGGTGTTCAGCACCAAGGACAGGCATGTTTACCTGTGTGTGGATGGTGTTCAGCACCAAGGACAGGTATGTTTACCTGTGTGTGGATGGTGTTCAGCACCAAGGACAGGCATATTTGAGTGTATGTGTGTGGATGGTGTTCAGCACCAAGGACAGGTATGTTTACCTGTGTGTGGATGGTGTTCAGCACCAAGGACAGGCACACTCCGTAGAAACTGGCTGGAACACCAGCTCCAGTGTCAACCTGTGTACATGTGTGTGGGTGCCCGTGTGTGGATGGTGTTCAGCATCAAGGACAGGCATGTTTTCCTGTGTTTGGATGGTGTTCAGCACCAAGGACAGGCATGTTTGAGTGTTTATGAGGATTGTATAATACTAAAAACAACCCTACCTTACAAACATTATGTCCACATTCCGTAGAAACCGGCTGGAACACCAGCTCCTGACAGCAGATGCACAGGAAAGTCTCCTCGACCTTGGGGAGGAAGGAGTCGCCGCCCTTCGCCGCCTTAAGGGCCTCATCCCACAGCTTCTTATTCTTCTCATCCTCCTTAAGCATCTTCTGTACCTCTGCAGAGACTTCTCGCAAGGCACCGCCCTTCTTCTTACTGGGAGTGCCCTCATCTGGGAAAACAAAGACATTAAATGAATTCCTCATATATGAATATTATCCTGTCTATCTATACTATCACCCTGTCTCTTATGTGACTTTCTGTATTCATGTTCGACATGTATCATTATCATCACCTTCATATAAAGGACCAGAGGAAGGAAAGTTGTAAGTGTCAGGCATATTGTGGATCCAGTGGATGCAAATAAAGTCAAGGTGATACCCAACATCTTGTGGCCATTCACATCTGACTCATTCCTATACCCAGCACTACCAATAGGAGCTCAGGATTTAATATGAAAAAAAAATCAGTCCAATAGGAGCTCAGGAGTCTCTATGGAGCTATGGAAACCAGTCATCACAGCCTGAAATATCATGGTAACAGTCAGTTCTCAGTCTGACAATAATTCAATGAAAGAGCTGCTACAAGTGTGAAGAGCATGTAGTTAGGATTGGGGGATGACCAGTAGGAAGGCTGCTAGAAGCTTTTGACAGCAAGTTAAATTCTTACCATCTGACCCCCGTTTCCTCTTCCCCTTGCCCTTAGCTGGTGTCCCTCCTTCCTTCTCCTTCTCCTTGGCAGCCTGAGCCTCCAGGTAGCCATCTGGGTACTGAAACATACAAACAATGTAACATAAGTCCTGCAACAAGGATCTGTAAGAAACCTCACAACATTTGTTTCTTTGTTAGTATGCTGTATGGTGTATACACACCTGTTCTATACCTAAAGAGAGTAGTAAAATGTAGTCAAACTGACCATTCAGGGTACTGATAAAATCTGGTCTATGTGGACAGGTGGTCACTTTAGACAGGATTCTTAATGCTTGTTTTGATGGGAAAATTAGCAGAGGGGTCACAAAAACTATAGGCAGATGCTCCTTACTACAGTATGTACAGATATTCACTTGTACAGGTTTGACGGTACAAGCTATGCAAGGAATTGCAAAATAATTGGTAGTTTGGACCCATCACACACATCAGCACAACTCTATATTGCTAAGTGTGCTGATTTCTTTAACATACTTGACCAGTAGCTCTCCCTAAACAAAAACAGTCTTAAATCTAGCATTACCTGCATGGTGAGTCCGAGTTTCTTGGCTGTTTTCTGTCCCTCCTTGGTCCACGGCGCGGCTTCCGGGTCGTCCCGGCGGAGTTTGTAACGCCAGACCAGGAAACCGGACTTACCCTTCGCTGGCCAGTACTTCACTATCTGTGGGGTGCAAAGCAGAAGGAAGGAGCAAAATTAATCTGAGCAGTTCTTTTTTTGCTATCCTCATGTCCTTAACTGAGGACATGAGGATAGCATGATGCTTTTTCAAGCCTTTGCAAAGAGTAAATAAACGCTCTACAACTGATAACTGCAATTTGTAAGGAGGCTGCTTAACAGATACATGTAAGCTCTTTCATGGTGAAGAAAACCTTCTCCCACCTTCCAAACCATCAAAACTAATGCAAAAACCCTAGGCTACCTAATCATGAACAAGATTAACTGAAAAACTCTTCTTAAAAAAAAAACTCCTGGATCAGAAACTTGCAAACATGTTCCTGGGCAAGATTAAAAGAGACCAATGCTCTAACTTTACTACTAACACTGTAATAACACTGACATACAAATAGTAGTAAAAAATAAAAGCCATAAACTCTATGTCACATTGTCAGGCAAACCTAACATCCATCCCCTTTCCGTACCTTATATATTCCGTCGTATCTGTTGCCGTCTTCAGGCGCGTACTTGGAGTGTTTTCGACCCTTACAGTTCCTCAGCACCCTGACTGGTTTCCCCTCCTGCCACCGGTCCTTACTGTCTGCTCCTTTCTTAGTGTCCAGTGGGGCAGCGCAGTTCCTGGCTAGGGCACTAAGAGGAAGAAGTGTTTTGTTAATTCTTTTTCTGATATAGGTGTACAAAAGTGCCTCTATCTGTATAACCCTTCACAAATATGTAAGTACACCCTAAATGCTTTAGTCAACATACCAGACTGGTTTAGACTCGAACAATGAATTTTGAACTTTTAGTGTAGCAGCTGAACTGATAATTCATTTCATTTTCATTTTTATTTTAATTTATACAGGGTTGGCATGTCGCAATGTAGTTTATAGTAAAACTATAAACTAACTCAAGTACAATGAAAGGGTAGTAATGACAAAAAAAAAACGGAACAGACTAACTGGGCGAACAAGGACTTTCTTCAACCGTTGGCGGCAAAATTTTTGGGTTGATTGACAACATAAATGGTAGATACACATGCTTCTTTTTTTCAAATCAGAAAAATATGAAGGGGGTGAATCCAAGAAGCAAGAAATTTGATTGGCATGGCCTCTTCATGAAAAAAGCCCCCCATTGTTTACAAGTGCCCCCTATTGTATAGCTGTGGTACTGCAGGACTCACAGGTTCATCTTGGTGAGTTTCTGGTCACATGACTGCTCAGCTGTGCGCTTGTTCCCTGAGAGGTCACGACCTCCGCTGCCCGTGTACAGGAACTCCTCCCCATCATCCTTTGGGGCACAAAAAATTTATTTCTTGCAATAATGCCTTAGAGGTCATTGCAAACAACAAGGTAATAAAACAAGAACAAATAGCAAAGTCTCATCAAACAATGGCTCTGACTTCGTCCCCAAGAGACCTTGCCCCAAAGAGGTAATTGTAAGCAATGAGATAAGATCTAGAATAAAATAACTGCAAACAGTAAAGTCTCATCAAACAGCAGTTTTGAATTCTTTTATACTTCTAAAACAGTTAAGTTGTATATCACGAAAGTATCATATTTCATACTACAGCCAAATCTGTCCAAGAAGGCCACCCAGTGGACTGAGGTGAATTGGCATTCTTGGGCAGTTGACTCAATGCTTGAGCCTCAGTATGGGAAAGATATTTTGGGACCACGAAAAAAATCAGCCATTGTGGCCAGGTGGCTGGCTTGAAGAGGTTTAATGATTTTTATAATGATACGTATCAAATTTTCAACCAGCTTCTACCTGACACTGAAACTGTAAGAGGACAGTGCACTAACCTTGTCATCCTCATATCCCCCAGACAGTACGATGGAGTAGGCTCCCTCTGTCTCCCTGCCGTGGATCCCAGACACGTGTGGACGGTGGACACCAGCTTCACTGGCCTGGGGGAGACACAGACAGTCATCAGAAATTTTTTTACCAAGAAGATGTAGATTTGGGCATCCTTAAACCAGGGCTCTAACCAGCACCAGTTTTTCTGTCAATTGCTGGAACTTTGTGGGGTGTTACATCCAATCTGTCAACCTTGACAGAAAAAATTAACAAAAATCTTGGATAAAAATATGAAAACATCTGAAGGACCACTGACAAACACTCTCAACATCATGATTTGCCTCTCAAAATGTGAAAAATTGCATTTTTGAAGGCTTAAAATCCAAAATCCGATGATGGACCTGGGCTGACGGAAAAAAATTTCAAGCTGGCTAGAGCCCTGCCTTAAACATTGTTCATTTCCTGCTATCGTGTGGTTTCACCATGTCTTCTGACAGAAAAAAGGCATGGTATCACAACATAAGGCAGAAAGTTATTAGCATACTGGTATTACTGCTCACGAAGAGAAACAGTTCACTTACCTGTACGCGGAATTTCCACATGGTTCCCACAGGCACACCTGGGATGGGTCCAAAGTGGTTAGGGGGGACCAGGTTGCAAACTTTTGTCCTGCCAACACACGCCATGCCCTGCACAACAGGTGTGGGAGTTGTTAGAGGATAAATCATAGTGCATTTGACTACCATTTGTCAATTCTAAGCAAAAGTTGTACTTTCTTAGGTTGAAAAACACTTTTTCTGCACAAAGGACATTTCAAAATGTATGCTAGCATTTCTCTTCATAAAAATGACTTATGCTTTGACCACTTTAACTATTCAATATCAGTCCAAGATTAACTCAAAGCTACGAAGAAGAAGATATGTCTTCCTGTGCTGACAAAATCTGGAGTCCATGTTATTATGGATTTGATAGGACTTCAATCTTGCTATTTTGTCTGACCCTGACCTCTCGATCGTAATGAGAAGATTTGAGTGTTTCCTGAACAAACAAAGGCTCAAACAAACAAACAAACAAACAAACGCACCTTCCCCCAGTCACGAGTGCTGGTGCCTTTAGCGGACGCCATCTTGGATTTCTTCTTGCTCTCCTTGAGTTTCTCCCCGACCCTCACAATCTCTGACGTGTCGTTACGGCACAGAGGGCAGTACCTGGAGGAAAAAGATTCAGTTAACATTTACATCGCCTCAACAATTTCAAACCCTATCACAAAAAAGAAGTAAACTCCCTGACTCCCACGCCGTCAAACATAAGATCTCAGACGTGTCATTATGACACAGGGGGCAGTGCCTGGGGGCGGGGGAGATGACATTAAACTTCACAAGAAGAGCTATCTACCATCCAAAATTTGTGACCCTAGCATGTCTAGATCATGAGATATAAAACCAACTGTTTTCAAAGTTCTGCTGCAGTACCTAGGAAAACCACCAGGGGGCCCAAAATCTAATCATTTCTAGGTCTTATCAAGACCTACCCACCTACCAAGTTTCATGACAATCCGCCTTAAGCTTTTCTCTTTTTGAGTTATTGTGTTAAACCACACACACATACAAAACCATAAACAAAACAAACACTATGGAAACAACCTTCTTGGCTAACCTTACAGTCCTATGGCTGCACCTGGAGCAATTACTGAATGTATTGAGGTCACTAGAGCAATATGCATGCATAAATCAATAATTTTCCTGACTTAGAGGTATTCAAACTTCTTACCATTCATCATCATCTGGTAGTACTTCCATGGGTGGAGTCAGACAGTACATGTGGAAGGCAGAGTCACACTCATCACACAGTAGCTGTTTGTCTGGGTCTTCCTTCCCTCCACACACGTGACAGTTGCAGTGTTTACACTTCTTGTTCGGGTCGTCCAGACACTGCATACACTCAGGTGTCTTCTTACCTGGAACGGACAGGTAGATCTATGCCTTAGATATCAGTTAAGCCATACTTGTGTGTACGAATGGCATTTGTGAGAGACTGCAAATCTCTGTGTAAAGACATTAACTCAGCTCGTTTGGTTGATAAAGGATGATACTTGTGCATCTTTTAACTGTTGCAGTTTCATGAAAAAAGCAAAACAGATTTGGGCTTTGATGTACATGTATCTTAGTACACAAATGGTTCACAAATTTTGATGAGTACAATTTCACGACAACATCTCATTTTTGGCCAATGGTACAAGGAAAGTCAAACACAATTTAGCATTGCTCGTTTCTTCAGGGAAAATAGGAAACAAAGTCACAGTATGCTTGAAGTTGAACAAATCACATATAAAATCAAAGAATCGGAGTGTTTTCCTCAAAGTTTTTAGCAACAAACAATTTTGAAAGAAACACAAAAAAATTGTGTCCTTTGTTGTGTTGTCCTCTCTGTTATCACTATTCTGTCTTTTTAAATAAATGAAGAAAAAAAATAAAGAAGAAACCATTGTGTCCTTACGTCTGAGGTCCTCCATATCCTCGCCGTTGACCTGGTTGATGTTAACGTTGGGACACTCGCCCGCCTTCTCGATCTTAAAGATCTCCTCCGTGAAGATCAGGCGACAATCCTCGATGGAGTCACCTCTCGAACTGGGGACAGAAAACACAGAGACTTTATTTTTTCAACTGAAACAATTTGCAGACATTATATAAATAGGACAGCACCCAAGCTAATCTTGACTACTAGTCTCACTGTGATTTGCATTTACCATTACGATATGATCATGTGTTAAACTTGTAAGTGGAAGACCTCATCTTGTAAGTAAAAGAACTCACCCCAACAGGATTCTGCCAATCAGTTCCTTGTTGGTTCTCTTGGCCTTCTGCATGGGTGAATTGGGAAGACATGAATCTAAATACATCACCATCGTCAAACTTGTGAACATGAGAACTATTAGTATTACTGCTAAGAGAGAGAGAGGGAGTGACAGAGAGAGGGGAAAGAGGGGGAGAGTGGGAGAGAGGGAGGAGGAAAGAGTAAGACAGAGAGGGGAGAGAAAGAAAGAGAATTTAGCATTTTTCACTCTTACTTTATAATTGTAGGGGTTTTGAAAGGGTGACCTCCCTATTCCTTGGCATGCCAAGAAAAAAGAAAGATTCCTTATAAAACTACCTTTTGATATAAAGAGCACAGAAAAAGTTAAGGTTTCATAAAAGCAAAAAGACTTACTTTCAATGTAATACTAATAAGCCTAGAAAAAGATTCCTTAGAAGACTTCAAACGTCCTGACCTTGGCGACGACCTCTACGTCGTACCAGTAGCCTCGCTCCTTGGGTTCGTCAGGGTTATAGTTCGCCATGACCAGCATGCCTTGCTGCACGTCCTCGAACGGGATGACGGTCCGCGCTCGCGGTCTGATGTCCACGCTCCGGAGCTGTGCAACATCATCCTCGTAGCTGGGACAGAAGGGTGGCAACACCGGGGGGAAAATGCACGTTGGAATATAGACATTTTTTAGAGCTGACTTCTTTTTCATGTTAGTATATCAAAAATCCTTCCTACATAATTTTAGCCATGTAGCTGGGATAGGATGAATTTGGCAACGTGGTTCCAGGGTTAAATACACAAATGTGCAACTTAATACCAAATTTGATTATATCCATTCCTAAAAAGTGTTTGAGTGTTTGCTTCTTTTGATGTCACTAAAATTCCTTACTTGCTAATAAGATATTCGTGGGTGGGAACAATAAAATCCCTTTCAGATTATGTAGGTGAGAACAACTCTAGAATGAACAAAATAACTAAAAACTGGCACAAAACACCTGGTCCAGTAGAAAGTATGTTTCCCATGGTGAAATAAATAAACAGCAATATATAACCAAACAATAAAATTAGAAGACATTGCACCTACTCTTCAAACTTGACGTGGTACACCAGCCCCTCCTCTTCCATCTCCTCCTCTCCCGACCGACTTGCGTCGCTCCCATCTCCATTCAGAACCACATTTTCCGCAGAAGCTCCGTTGGGAAGGCCGTCCACCTCCATGTCTCCACTGTCCTTTTCCGACGAGGTAGTAGCTGGGGCCGTTTCCTCGCGTTGTGAGGTAGTTTTATCGCCGTCGCCCTTCCCTGATTGTAAGGAGGTATCCTCAGAAGATTTCTCGGTGTCCTCCTGTGTTTGTCTTGTGTCTGAGGTACCATTTAAGACAGAATTTGAGCTGCCGTGTGCGGGAATGTCTTGGGTAGCAGCGGCAGCTTCTTGGTCTTTGGACTCGCTTGTTGTTCCCTGAGAATTATCGTCTTTGTGGTTTTCGGAGGAATCAGAAGATGCCCGCGTAATTTTTAGGATCGTGGCCTCGAACCAGGCGCCGATCCGCAAGTCTCTGGCATCTACCAAGTCTCCTACCTGCAAAATAGGGAATAAAACAGAAAATATGTGTCACACAACTTCAGCAACAGTTGAGGTCAATTATAGCAAGTCTCTGGCATATACCAAATCTCCTACCTGCAAAATTAGGCATGAGACATGTGCGGTCAGTTTCAGTAATCTACAAGTGTTTTACAATGCCACATCAATCAAATGACCCACGAGTCAAAGTTTCTTCCAGCACCTATGTAAGCTGCATAGGGCAGCCCCCAATTCTAAAAGATTGGCCAATTCTATTAGACTAGTAATATTAGTATTAGAATAAAACATGGCTCTACACAAAACCTACAGAATTGTAAGAATTTCAAAGATGAGACCTATTCCCAAAGAAAGATAATAATTTCCATACCATAGAGTATTTGTAAAACTAAATCTCTTGAAAACGTCTTGTCACGTACTGATGCACAAATAATATTACATAACATGGTCCATGTCTAACAGGTAAAGTTGTCATCATTTCCTGTCTACAACACAACGTTATAACCCCCTTACCGCGTAGAGTCCTTTGATGTGCCCTGCCTGCCCGCTTGTGGAAGGGTCGGACAGTCCTGTGTCTGAGTCCACATCCCCATTGGTCATCTGGTAACACAGGATACACAAATTAACAGCTGCTAAATTTCAATACTTTCATTACAGTCAAAACTTCCCACTCAGCAGCTCAATAAAATCTGGTCTATGTGGACAGGTGGTCTCTATAGACAGGACTCTTAATGCTTGTGTCAATGACTTTATGTAGGTTCTCTTTGTTTTCACTTGCACAAGTTTCACTACATCTGTACAAAATCCTAGATAGAAACAAACTCTAGATGCCACATTATAAAGATGCCACATTATGTAGGGATGCATGTTCCTTCAAAAGAATCACAACACAATCATGTACATAACTTCCTTTTTAAACCAAGTCATGGTGACAAAAAAAAAAGCTTGTTTTCCATTTTCCATACATACTTTATTACAACCTTTACTACAACCTCCATACTTTTCTCATCAGGGCTCAAAAAACTAAAACTGAGTAATATCTTTATCTGAAATTTGCAAACAAATAAAACAAATCAGTACCGGTGCATCAGGGGTGGATGGTTCTAGCTCCAGCTCTTCCATGGGCTCCTCCTTGTCGGATGCGGTTTCAGTGGCGACTGAGCTGCCTTCTGATTGGCCAGTGTCGGCCGGCCTAACCAGCAGCTGGATGATCTCATTCAGCCCCACGCTGTAGTCAAACAGGGTGTGCCCATCCTCCAGCTCGAGGGTAAACAAAACAGGACAATCATTTAATAAACAAACAAACAAACAAACAATCCTCACCCATACGGACACATAGCTAACGGCTAAGCTAACCCCACGCTGTAGTCAAACAGGGTGTGCCCATCCTCAAGCTCAGGGGGTAAACAAAACAAGAAAATTAGGAAACAAACAAGCAAACAAACAATCCTTACACATACACACTTAGCCAGCCCCACGCTGTAGTCAAACAGGGTGTGCCCATCCTCAAGCTCGGGGGGATAAACAAAACAAGAAAATTAGGGAACAAACAAATAAACAGATGGCAAACTTCAACCCCTTACCCATTCATACCCTTGCTGTAGTATGGTCAAACTGGGTGTGGCCATCCTCAAGCTCAGGGAAGAACGAAACAGGACATTAACAATAATTAGAGATGGCAGACTTCATCCCATTACCCATACAGACACAGCGCTTTGGGAGTAGCACAGCATGGAATTTTGGAAGTACCCAATTAGTTACAACAGAGATGTTATACTAACATTAGGATTTACCAAGTCAACTGTTTATCATTCAAGTACGGGCACACCCTGTCGGCTGTTCCAGGTGTCAATCATGTTACCATGGCAACTATGGCTGGCTGGTCAATTCTCCTGTTGCCCCCCCCCCCAATAGCTGCACGCATAATTACACAAAGCTAGACTTATGATTTGTGAATAGTGTAATCAGGTTGGTAAGTCACTGATCATGAATGAAAAGACTCTTTTTACGCAACCAAGCATTTTATGCAGCCAACGTTTCGATGACCGTCTGTCACCTTCCTCAGGGCAATTCTGGCTGGTTCACACTGCACTACAGCACAGGTGTCGCTGCTACTAGATACACTATTCCATTGGCCCCTCCCTCTCCTTGCATACACCATATACCAGATCTCAAAATTCATTTTGGAACTAGGCTTTGTGGTGCATTTGACATTAAAAAACTGGGGCATCAACGTCACAGATTCTTTCGCCGAGCTACATTTTGGCAACTTGACAGCATGTTCCAGACCAGTCCCAGTCTCCTGCGTAATTTGTACCGCAGTGATTCAGACCTGATCATGAGTCATGTTACCCTGGTACAGTCAGGTACCAGTCATCCAGCAATAAGGCTTACTTAGCTCTGGGCAAAATCAAGTAAACTCCCAGTTTCTGTACCGTAAAGCAAGTTATACATGCAGTCAACTGTCTTGGTGGTAAATATTTGTCATGGATTCATATATGTATGAGGATTTGACATATTTGAATGTAAGAGCAAGAGCCAGTCTTTCCATCCTGACATCTGCTTGGTTTTTGGTTTTCATTCATTTACCTGGATATTGGTATAACTATAAGACACCCAACTAAGGAACAACATAATTTCGGAACAAAAAAACATTAAACTCTGCACAAAGCTAGTGTTTTATTTTGTTCAGGTACAGGCTGTGTTATATTTTGATTCAAAGTGAAGTTTGCAAGTGGACATTTTTTAGCTTTGGAGAATTAACAAAAAGTTTATAATTTTCAAAATGTGCAGGAAATGACCCTGGGATGAAACAACAATTGTCTCTACCGCTGACGTCGCCATTTTGAAACGTTCTTTAAAAACAAATTAGGCTTTGCCCTTTGTTCTGAGTCGCCTGTTCTGGGAAAGGCCCGGGATGTGGATAGAGTTTATCGCGATGTTACAGAATTCCACCAGTGACCACAGAACAATACACAACCTGGATTTATCAGATCACTAATCAAAAACCTTGGTTACCAGCCACCAGGCCTATATACTTGCTTCCGTTGTAATGATTCATATTGTATTACCGGTATTGTAGTCTGCAGGGATTTTTATCGTCAATTTGGAAAAATGTCTCCACTGACTGAAAACAATTTGTAAGTCATGTCGGTGAAGGTTAGACATCCATGAAATAAGATACGCCAAAAAAAGTTACATGAGTCCTATTATTTTTTGGTACCACCAATAAAAAGTTAGAACTAGCCTAGGCTACGATACAAAACAAGAAACTTTCTTTCCACATCACATTTTGGCTTCATACTCATAGATGTTATGCTTTGGGATAGGGTTAATTCAACTTAGTACAGAGTATGTACATTAAAAAAAGACTAGAAAATTGACTTTGAAAGTCCAGTTTTACTATCCTAAAATTGCTTAGCGTGCCTTTAAGAACTACAACTCAGTACAAGTCAGTTTCTTAAACAGCAACCTTGTTCCTTAGCACTTTGATTTAGGAGCAGCTACTCCTACTCGACCTCGCCATGACCTGTAAAGTCCTTCAGAAGCTTCCAGTGTTCCTTGATCCCCTTTTCCTGTTTTGCCACTGATGACTATCACCAAACAGGGCTTAAAATTTATTTTTGAGAATACATACACTGGTGCACCCAACTTAAAAAACTGGGTGCAAAAAAAAAAAAACACTTTTGGTGCATTATGAAATTGTAGAATGTCAGCAAAAAACAAAAATTCCAATGAACCCTAGCCTGCGTTACACAAGCTCTCGGCCGGAGGTTAATGACCCCCACCCCATTAATTTTAGGGGGTGGCAACTTCGGGGCTAAGTTAGATGTGAGATGAATATGCTGTATACTACTAACATTAGTGTGAACCTACAAAAATATTTGGGTACACTGGTATATATACTACTAGTGTGAACCTACAAAAATATTTGGGTGCACCCACAGAAAAAAATTGGGTGCACAGCTGCAATTTTGGGTGCACTAAGGTGCACATGCACCCAGTATTTTGAGCCCTGCTGAATCAGAGGACAAACACGACAACTACTCTCAAATGGTCTGACATCAAGATGGCTGCCAACACATTCCGACTAACAAATTATAATGACATTGGCCAAATTTTCCTTAATACGACAACCTGTAAACTTGCGATTGATTTGGCAAGGGTGTTATTTTGTATGACGATTTTACATGTAGTACTTCTTGCATATATTATAGGCCTTCTCTTACATGTCGATTTTGTCTTTCGTTTTCAAACTTGCCTACAATTTTGACATTCAGGCAGTGGTATACTTTAATTTGGCTGTTATGTTCTTTTAGTGCATTTATGTACCAATACGTCAATACACCAACTATACTGTAGGTACAAAGATACATGTATGTCAAACGTTTTACTGCATTAAAACAGCCCAAGTATGCTTTGCACGTGACCTTTGGAACTACTAAGTAACTTTCTTATGTAAGAGGTACCAATATACGAGAATGAATTATCTAATTCTTTACACTTCTCATTTTTTTTTCAAGAGCCCACGACGAAAGGAAATACCTCAGCTTTAAAGTAACGAAAGCTGATTTGCAGACAATAACAACTACAAAGGCGTTTTGTGACGTTACACTACTGAGGGTAGGGCGAGTGGTTTAGCTGGTTTAGGAGAAAGTGCGAGTGGAAACGAGTTCACTGCGCAAGCCTGACCTAGTTAGCTGTAAACACCCCCAGAATGAAACGTTAGCCAAGGTGTGACGCCATCTTTATGCAAATCGCTGTGGTATTTTTTTTCTTTGTCCATGGGCACATCTTAAACTTGTCTTGCAGGTTGTTTTTTTTTCGTGTGGCTTGGCTCGATTGTCCGACACCGGGCTGATTTTCACGGATCGTTACATATAATCTTTGATTTGAATTAGAATATTTACTGACAAAATGTCACCTACGACGCAAGAGTCACAGGTATTTCTGTCAGGAACACCCACCCACCCCCGATCTCGTTTCACCAACGTTCAATCTTGACAATAAACGTTGCGTTACAACCACGCTAATCACGACAAAAACACAGAAATTCAAACTGTCAGCTGACAATCTAACGTGGCCAAAATCACAGCCACTCCTGAGTTTATAGCTACACTGCGGAGTACAGGGGTTATTTTTTTGTGTGTGAGCACTGTGTGCATGATCTCGTAACATCAACATTCAAGCTTGACAATTAGCGTTGCCATTCTACGACACTGATCACGACAAAAACACATACGTCACACCGTCAGCTAGCCTTCTATTCTAACGTTGGCCAAAATTATGGCCACTCCTAAGTTTATAGCTGCATTTCGGAGTGCAGTAGGTTTTTGTGTGTGTGTGAGCTGTATGTGTATGGAGGGCATCTCTGCAAAAACATGTCGGCCAGCCAGCTTGTGCCAGCGGAGCCATCATTATGCTAATGATGTGTTTGTACTAGGCTGCCATGCTGCCTGGCTGTCCTTCTCACAAATGCAGGGGACGGGGACAGAACCTTCTAGTTCTGCCGACAACCACAATATTTCCCGTTTCCTAACCGTGCTAGTGCAAATGATGGGGTTACGGTTGTCAGTTTTACATCAGAAGGATACATATAGCCTCCGTAGCAGGCTTATAGAACTGGGGGTTTGGTGGTCTTCGGCTGTTTTCTGATTAGCCCAGTTCTAAAATCGGGGGTAATTCAACCAGGCTGGCTGTTGTCTATATGCAATCAGAAAATAGCACATAAAGACCCTGAAGACCCCCCAAAACCCCCGTTTTTGGCATGCTATGGAGCCTAGGATACATGCATGTTCCTGCGTATAAACTGAGAGTGGTACAGGCAAGCCGGCTGGCCACAGGCTTTGTCTGGTGCACTCAGCAAAACGGAGATGCCAGAAGGCAAGGCTTTTCCCCAGAACAATAAGCTCTGTTGTGCCTTTTTTTCCTCCTCCTCTCCCGAAGTTTTACACACATAAAGAAGCCTGGGTTCCGATGTTGTGTGTCGTCATGTGACTGACGGCATACAAACCGAGAATTCCTGGCTTGTCCGGAGGCCCTTTGGGCAGGAAGTTACACTTTTCCTGTCTGATGTTTCCACCGACTACATTTACATCTCAAACATGACACAACCACCACCCTTAAGACTGGTCCTTTATTTTCGATTAACGACCACTACTAATTTTGTCTGCGTATGTGACTCCTAGGTACTTGTTTTTGTGGCAGAATGATGGAAAATGGGCAAAATGAAAGGTAATTTTGACATTTTTTTTTAGCTTGTATCGCAAACATCACAACTACCAGCACCTTAATTCACCCTTAAGTGTGGTCCTTTCTTTTCGATTAACGACCAACTGCAAATTCTGTCTGCGTATGTGACTCCTAGGCACTTGTTTTGATGGTAGAATGATGAAAAATAGGCAAATAAAAAGGTAATTTTGACATTTTTGGGGCTTGTCACACTTTCTGAGACAAAATCTGAGCAAGATCACTTGCCCCCTGGGCACTTGAAATTCAATTCCTGGATGCCGTCAACTCTTCTGGATTAAAAATTTAACAAAAATATTCAGTAATCGGCAATGACAGCTACCAAATCATGCTTCTAGTTAACCTAGCTTGCCTTAAAACCAGCTCACGGGTTAGTTTTTCCTCAGAAACAAGAGTTTTGTAGGCCATCGAGGCGAAGTCTTTTGTTGCCCGGGCCTTTTTACCTCACCGCCCGCCCATGTCAATGCAAAGTGCCCTGGCTGACCCCGTGGGCACTTAGGGCGTTACAATACGAAACCTTACAACACACAAAGACAGCGTACACCCTACAGAGGCTATTCCTAGAGAATCTGGAGGTTTGAGGTCGTATTTCTGAGGAAAAACAGCGAGTTTTCTGAATGAATGAGTACCTGTTTTCCGCGGTAGAAGAGGCGTTGTCTCTCGGGCGGCGAGTCGTCGAAAACTTCGTCCACCCTCCCCCTCAGTTCCTCGATTTTCGTCAGCTTCGACAGGCCGTCTATCTGTACCTGCCTCTTTCCGTCAAAAGTACGGACTTGGATCCACATCTTGGCCGAATTTCTCGGACAAGAGTTCTTCTAGCAGCGTGTCTTTTTATAAGAAAGGGAGCGAGCTCTCTGTAGCTGTGTGTGTGATAAAAGAAGTGAACACAAACGGCTTTAAATATGATAATTTCACCCACGTGTGGGAATGGCGCGAACAAGATCTCGCGAAATCTCGTCCGGAAAAATACTCTTTTTTACAAAACGCAACCCCACAACACTCAACAGAATCATAAAAACAGCCTTAAATATTCATTAGATAGGCTAGTTGTGTGTTGAAACGAACAGTAGTGGGAAATATGAGAGAATATTTTGTGATGATCCAAGATCTCGCGAGAGCAGGATGCAAATACGAAATTTGGCGGGAAAGTTGATGGGTTGATGTGGGAGTTAGCCATGCGTGAACGCAGGCCGCTGTCAACAAAGGACCAGGCGAATCTAGCGTCACATAAAAACAAACAGCATTCGTCCAAAAAAGGGAGAAAAACGGGGTTGAAACTAGTAAATTTCCTCTCAGTAACACTCCAAGTACACCCTTGCCAAATGACCTGTAAAAATGAAACCATGGCATTAAAAATAGCTCAATAAAATACTAGAAAAATGCTAGTGATCGTTGTGAATTTTTAATTGCTTACTCTAAAAGTGTCCCTTGAACTAGAGATTGGGCTACTGACAATGTTGCCAAAGGACCTTGAGTTGAGTGACAGAAAAGATGGACGATTTTTGTGCCAAAGTTGAGGTAACTAACCACTGCCACGCCCACCAAAACAACAGAACAGATTTCAGACTATACCAAATCCTCCACAGGGGTGGAGGATTGAGGGAAGAATTTTTAGAGCACCACCTTATCATTGATGCTTCTTAATAAGTAACCAAATCTTTGCTGTTTAGATAAAATTTCACTGAGGTGCGTAAAAAAGTAAATAAAAGACCGGTGAAAGTCCGTTTAGTGGGCAGAGCTTCTTGTGGACTCACCTGACAACCTTTGACCTATTAAGGCATTTAGGACTTGTCACGCCAGTGGTTGTAAGCGAATAGCAGACCAGCCCGCGAAAGAAACTCCCTCAAACTGCGCCTACCAAACAGATCCACAACGTTTTGAACATCGACGGCATTTTAGGCACCCTTTCCAACATTTCTGACCGCTGTCGACGGCAAAAATGTTCGGTTTCTTGCTTTTTTTGTTGGTCGTTTTCGGTGGCGCTGGACTTTGGGTTCACCTGAAAGGGATAGAATATGTAATGATACACCAACGATGGGTTTTTGTGTGCTTCTTTTTGCTGCCCTTAAGCGTGATCTTCGACATGTACCACTACCTGAGGACTTGGATCGTCTTCCAGCTGCACAGCGCGCCCAAGAAACACGACGACAGAGTAAGAAACATCCAGAAACAGGTAAGACATTTTTCAAGACTTTAGCTAATAAACGCAAGGTCGTTTCGTAATATCCAAGCAGATACGTTGTTGTTTCTTCTTACGTCTTTTGTTTTCGCTCGTTCTGTAAGTCTTCTTTTGGCTAGTTTTTGGCGATCGCTGAAAAGAGGAACTAAATTCAACTATTGTTGTATAATGTCCCTTCTTTAATAAAATCTATTGCCAATCGATGGCGAAGCCCACGAAAACGCGACAAACACCAAACATCTGCTTGGAGAATGCGTTGTCAACTTGCCACCTATGCGCCCTTTCTTGGTAGCGGTCCAGCGGTCGCATTTCTTTCTGTTTATTTTTGGCAGAACATGACCGCACAAGTCTTTTAAAAGGCTACAGTATCGATAATATTTCAGATATAGGAGAAGTCTCCTTTTAATTTTAATGTTTGTGTCGCCGTTTGTTGCCATGGCAACGTAATCACGCCACCTGCCACATAAATTATATACAAAACAATGTCTCAAGCTGGATACCATTTGAACATATGCTTAGCAGCTACCGTAGGGTCTCAAGACCAATTTGTTACAGGGATGATTTAGCTTGGAAAGTATGTTTTCACTAGGATTTCAACAGCAGTATCTGTTTGTTTATAAAAAATTGGTTGTTACATACACATTTAACAACTCAATTTTGAGTAAATTTCTCCAGTTTTTGTGATATGGGATTACATAGGCCAGTGGAATTAAGGTGTTAAATTTTTCTTTGCAACCAAATAGTTTGAATCATGCCAAATGTGAGCTTGTTGAAGGGTTGTGTGGATTTTGTAGTCCATAAGGAACATTTCTATAAAAGTACATAACGTCCACCACACAAAAAACCTGAGTCAATATTGGGCTTCTGGCATATTGGTGATGCACTAAAAAAATCTGCCATGCAAGAGCCAATTTCTTTATATGTACTTAGTATATATTTACAAAAACCCCATGGCCAACATGCTACTAGTAATATTGTATTGAAAATGCTATAACTAAAAGAAATTTAAAGCAAAAAAAATGTAAATTTAATACTTTGTTTGAACAGAAGCCTTGTTTTCTATTGGCCATTTCCTCCACATTCGATGGATAGAACGAGGGTCAAGGACAACATGGCCGCCTGGTGTAAATAAAGATTATTGATTGGTTGGTTGGTTGGTCAGTTTGTTGACCTTTCTCATATGCCCTACTGGATGTTGACCTAGAAAGGTCAGATCCTGACCTGTTGTCTTTTTTTGGACTCCAACTGGCACTGCCACCACAGAAAAACGTTTTAGACACTTTTATTAAAAAAATAAAAAGCATACACAGAGCTCCAGGTAGCTTTTGAATTTTTGTCTGTCAGCCCAGGTGCAATCTAATGCCTTGTTTCTTACAGCCAGGTGCGGCTCCACCAATCAAATGCCTTCAGTTATTTCCTGTACTATAAGACTGTCGGAAAGCCATAACTACATTTTTTCAGAGAAAAGTTTGAGATTCATTATTTCTCTCTCAGGAATGTCAGGAAAGAGAATGGCAGCCATACGCAGATATATGTGGAAAGAAGCATTTTGGAAATCTTGGAACATTGAAGTGTTTTTAATACTCAGGTGTGAGCGTGGAAGGAAGATGGCAGCCGTAAGCCGATGTGCACGGCGCGGCCCGGCTGGCAGACCATGAGTCAATCAAATGCCTTGTTTCTTATAGCCAGGTGCGGCTCCACCAATCAAATGCCTTGCTTTCTCATTCCCCAGGTGCGAGCGTGGAAGGAAGACGGGAGCCGTAAGCCGATGTGCACGGCGCGTCCGGGCTGGCAGACCATGAGCCAATCAAATGCCTTGTTTCTTATAGCCAGGTGCGTCTCCACCAATCAAATACCTTTCTCTATCCCTCCCCAGGTGCGAGCGTGGAAGGAAGACGGGAGCCGTAAGCCGATGTGCACGGCGCGGCCCGGCTGGCAGACCATGAGTCTCCGCGTCGGAAAGTACAAACAGACGATGCAGAACATCAACATTAACCTCATCGACATCCTGGAGGTCGACGTCAACCGACAGGTCAGACTCCACACCAATCAAATGCCTTGTTTCTTATAGCCAGGTCTGGATTGACCAATGAATTGCCTCATTTCTTACAGCCATGTCTGGCTTGACTAATCAAATGCCTAGATTCTTAAACTTCCCATGGAATAACACTTGACAGACTCAGATGCAAGTCTTCTGTTTTTTTTTTGCCAAAAGTTTACTGAAAAATGTCCTAGAACCATAAAATCAAATTTGTTTGGCCTCAAGTTCCCACTCATTTGTGCTGTTTTCCCAGTTGCTCATGTACAAGTGTTGACTACTTCTGTTAGTTCAATTTAGTGATGCTGAAGAGTGATGGATGCCACTCGAAATACCCAGAAGTCACCCATTCACTCACCATCGTCTATTGTTCTCCATCTTCTGAGGGCTAGACGTGCTTGCACTGCACACTACCAGTAACAGTAGAAGGCAATTGTGTACTTGGATGTCTAACCTTTATCGACCTTTGCTTTTTAGGTTGTACGTGTGGAGCCACTAGCGACCATGGGACAGATCACAGCCACCCTGCTGCCGCTGGGCTGGACTCTGCCTGTCCTGCCAGAACTGGACGACCTCACTGTCGGTACGGCTGATTGATCAATGGATTAATTAATCATTTAATTAAGATATTGATTGAAAGATTGGGGATTAAAATATCATTGAACTGTTGATTGATTTATCAATTGAAAGGTTGGTTGACTGAAAAATTGATCGCTTGAAAGATACAAAAACATTGATTTCACTCAAGTTGTTTGTACATGTATGATGACAATCACAAAAGAATGTGCAAGAGGAGAGAGACATTAGATAGTAATCTTCCAACATCATGGCACTAATCTTAAAGGTAGTAAAAGTTAGAGCGGCCTTTGTTAAAAAGACATTGAAACTTTGTTGCAGGTGGTTTGATCTGTGGAGTGGGAGTAGAGACGTCCTCCCATCGCTACGGTTTGTTCCAGCACAGCTGTGAGGCATTTGAGCTGGTGCTGGCTGACGGCAGTCTGGTCAGGTGTACCAAGGTGGGCAGTCTACTGTCTGACATTACATGCAAACTTACTGGTCTCTCTTGGTCCTTTCACATTTGAATCATTAGTCGATTAAAAAAAGCTGGTTGAGTGATCCTGGACTGAAAGCAAGAATCAATACAAACTGAAATTCTTTCTAAAATAAAACAGCCAACAGAAAGAAAAGACTTTGCCAGACAGACAGCTACCAGGCTTCTTCCTTCCTTAGAATACATTTGATGACAATAGGGAGCCCTCATCGTGAGATGCTTCGTGTTATCCTAGCAAACTTTAAGCTAACTTTTTGTTCTGCCCCCAGGATGAGAACCCTGACCTGTTCTACGCGGTGCCCTGGTCACACGGCACCCTGGGATTCCTAGTTGCCGCGGAGATAAAGATCGTCCACGCCGCAAACTTCGTCAAGGTCGAGTACAAACCCTGCCACACTGCTGAGGAGGTCAGCAAGGTCTATACTGAGGAGGTCTGTACATGGGCTGGGTTTTCTTTTCTTTTTTTTTTTGCTGTGCCACGTTAAACTAGCTGGAAAATGTAGAAATTGGCCCAAAAGACCACTAAGTATTAATATACAGGAGTACTGTGGGTGGCAAACTGTACTCCTTCAGTGGACCAAATCCCCTGACAATTGTTATCTGACAGTGTCTTTTTGGTCAATTTCTACTCTTTCCAGCCACTTCCAAAGCCTGGTAGAGGCTAACGTTGTACTGTAGACAACAACAGTAGAGCCATTGAGGGCTGTCCTGTGATAAATTGCATACTGATCCCTCTGAATGCATCAGATTCTGTAGTGGCATGGTTTGTTGAGATTTTATGAAATGGAGGGTCATTTGCCACAAAGATATAAAATAATTTTGATTGCCAGAAGACATTGACACAAACCATATTATATCAGAAGTTTAAAATCTGCAGTTTTTTGTTTCCAGGTTCTGAAGAAGAGTGACAACGACTTTGTGGAGGGGCTTATGTTCAGCGAGAATGAGGCGGTTGTCATGACAGCAAACCTGACCAATCAGGCGGAACCAGGCAAGGTAGGCATGGACACTAGATTTGTTCACAGAGGAAATTTTAACCCACTGAAATGCTATTTCCTGCATTTGGATTAGGCAAATTTTGCTGGTAGACCAAGAAGGTTTAAACCTAATTGGGAAGTTTATTATAAATGTAATAAAATCTCTTTCCAAATCTTTACCAGTCTTTATCAGTCAAAGAGGATGGATTGGGCAAAATTTCTGTCCATCAAATGGCAGAAAGATGGACACTGGCAAGAATACTGCATTACAGTACATGTGAACATTAAGCAACCTTCTTGGGCTTTCAGCCTGTACATGCAAGCAACAAGACTTATTTTATCACCAGGTGAACTCCATTGGTCTGTACTACAAGCCGTGGTTCTTCAAACATGTGGAGACTTTCCTGAAGACCGGCCCAGGGGTGGAGTACATCCCACTGAGGCACTACTACCACAGGCACACTCGCGCTATCTTCTGGGAGCTACAGGTATCTGTATATCTGCATAGCCACCGTGTAACCGCCCTTCTGTGTAACACACCAGCTTCTGTACCTGTATAGCCGGAATAACCGCCTTTCGGCGTAACACACCAGCTTCTGTACCTGTATAGCCGGTATAATCGCCTTTCAATGTAACACACCAGCTTTGCAGGCATTGTTACAGCTATCTAATGATAATGCCTCTACTGTACATTGTGTTCCTAGGACATCATTCCCTTCGGAAACAACCCCATCTTCCGGTTCCTGTGTGGGTGGATGGTCCCACCGAAGGTTTCCCTTCTGAAACTGACTCAGGGAGAGACGGTTCGGCAGCTGTATGAGAAACACCACGTGATCCAGGACATGCTGATTCCGCTGGACAAGATGGGCGAAGCACTCAGGGTCTTCCATAAGGAGATCAAGGTTTGTTTCCACAACTCACAACCTATGTTCTGACAACCCTTTAAACCCTTGTCAGAACATAGGCGATGATGACAAGATGTCTGGGGCACTCTGAGGGTTTTCCACAAAGAGATCAAAGAGACAAGAGAACTCCAAAATGAGATCTTAACCGGGATGAAGAGGAGACAGAGTGCTTCTCGAAAGCTCCCCAGTGTAGCTGAACTTTAGTTGTGTGTTTTGGTATAGATATTTGTCAAAATCAAGTTTTGTGTTGAGGGTGCCTGTTTGGCTGGTTACACCCCTATTGATCCACTTACTATTTGTTCTGACAACCCTGACATCAATTGGCAGAACGTAGACTCTGAGGTGTTGGCTATCCAAGAATCCTACTTTGGCTCCAGTCTGTCACTGGCACTGGCACTGGTTAATATAATATAGATTCTATGACATTTGTATATTAGGCACGAGATTATTCCTGATAGGCTTTGAGTGGCACAGGTCCTATGTAACGGCATGGTAACTGGGATCAAACAGGCACCCTGTATTAGACCATACTGCAATCATGGTAGTGTAGTACAGAAACTGGTTATAACAATCTTTTGTAACTTTAATACTCTGCAGTTGTACCCGCTGTGGCTGTGTCCCATGCTGCTCCCCTCCCAGCCAGGAATGGTACATCCCAAAGGTGACCAGGACGAGATGTACGTCGACATTGGCGCGTACGGGGAACCGAAGACAATGGACTTTGAGGCCGGCCCGACCACCAGGCGTCTGGAGGAGTATGTGCGCAGTGTCAACGGGTAAGGAGTGAGGTTTAAAGTTTAAACTTTTGATCCAACACAAAAAATTCTCTCACCTAGAGCTTTCGACCAGTCTTCATTGTCACTTGTCATGTGGTTTCTTCTTCTTTTCCAAACACATAATATCTGTGAACCAGCCGTCTGTCACCAAGACTCACTATGGTAACTGATGCTGTAGCAGACATCCTGTGGTGTTGGGTTACATTATGTAGCAAGTGGCAGGACAGGATTGGAGGCTGGGCACCATATACATGAATATGTTTGAATAAGAATAAACAGAGCATTAGTTTGTTAGGCTAGACCATGTGAAGGTGAATAAAACTGTCGTGTATTTGCTTTGCAAATGTTACCTTTCTAGTTTGATTCACGTTTTGTTGCCCAATTTGATTCCCGTCTTGTTGCCCACCAGGTTCCAGATGTTGTACGCGGATTGCTACATGACCCGGGAGGAGTTTCGCCAGACGTTTGACCACACCCTGTACGACAAGATGCGGGCAGAGCTCAGCTGTGAGAAGGCCTTCCCCGAGGTCTTCGACAAGATCTGCAAGAAAAACAGGCACTGAGCAGTAAACACTGAGGACAGCCGCACACGGAAACTACCAGTACCAACTGTGAGGCATGTCCTTCAGTGGACACCATACGACTTCCACAAATTAAGTTCCAAAATTTCAAATCTTCTCCAAAAAGACACAGTATGAATTTAAACTGTTGTATCAAAGAAATAGATTTTAAAGCAAAATAATGTCAACCTTGGTTCAAAGAGATAAAATATGCAAATAGGTAAGTTTCTGCTGCTTGTACATGATTGTACTTACCAAAATACCAAGTCTGTGTTTTATGCAACTTGTATAATTGTACTTAACAAAATACCCAAATAGCCATAATAGGTTTTATGCTGCTCATTTAAATTGAACTTACCAAAATACAAAACTGGTGCGCTACACCTTGAGGCAGTTCCCTGATTATTCAGTATGAAAAAACAAACACAATTCTGTGCTGATTTAACCCTTTCTCTGATGATGCCTGCTGTCACCAATACAAATCTGCTGCTTTAAAGCATCCTCAGCAGACAAAGGGTTAACACAATACAATATACAAAACTACTCAATGAGACATACAGTATTCCAATTTTGGTCATCAGCACTCCAAAATCCAAACTGTTATGCCAAAGACATTATTGCCACTGACATTCAGGAACTTTCAGTTTCAGTCCATCTCTCTTGTATCAAATTGAGATTTGCTGTCTGTATTTTCTTCTAGATAATGTTTAATCACTGATTAGGTGTCTGTGTTACCTCACTATACAGTATGTTACAAATGTACATGTACTTAGTACATGGATGTTACATTGAGTAAATACAAGGGTGTTTAAACTCCAAAACTACATTATTATGATTATATTGTGGTTTTTATCTTCTAAACTGATGTGTAGATTTCTTATGACAATCTCCAAACAGATTATTGTTGACTGCAGTTTGGATAGTCAGATTTTGATAATCAACAAATACATACAGTAGCTAATAATCTGAAACAAGTGCTAGTATGCGAACAGTTTTGACTACTGTTACTAGTTTTTACATATCAGAAAATTACATGATTGTGTTTCATGTAGATTGAAATCAAATACATTTGTACTGTATTTTATTGTACAAAATGTATGACTTTCCAATGAGATTTCTAGAATGTGAGTTCCAACCAATACATGTACTAGCTAGTATATTTTGACTCAGTGTAAAATGCTGCTCATAACAAAGTAAAAAACACTGCAGTTTCCTACATCTCGGGGAAAATGACACAGTATTTTCAGAAGTTGATAGAAATGGTGAAGCCATAACAGTGAATTTTCACTGAGTTAGACAAGAATTGTACCACCACATATCATCTTCAAATTGCGCAGCTAGCTATAAAGGTACGAATTGCCAAATATCAGTACAGAAATGTATTATAGATTTGAACACAGTTTTTCTAGTGATTTAGTGTGTATATGTTGTGAGATTCTCTCTTAGATTATATATAATCTCTCTAGTATATATAATTATATATATGAAGTGTGATGTATAATAATTTTGTGATGATTTCAATCTCTTTAGCATGTTGTTCCTAAATGATGCTTTCAGGAATATTACACTTTATAAGCGGAGAGGAACAGTGCTACAAGTTACAAGCATTAAATACAGCGATCTTATATGTATTATGTTGTTGTGAGATTTCAACCTTTAGGGAATATTACAAGACAACACCAACCTAAGATGGTTTTACTATCATTAAAGTTCATCTGTGTTCAGTTTTTGGTAATTACATGTTTAAAGTTAAAATTTTTGGTCCAACACAAAGAAGTTCTCTCACCTAGAGCTTTCAACCAGTCACTCTGGTCTTCCTCAAAGAAGCCACGTGACAAGCCTCACTGGGTCAGTCTACAGAGGAAGACCAGAGTTACTGGTCAAAAGCTCTAGGTAAGAGAACTTTGTGTTGGATCTAAAGTTTTAACTTTAAACAACCAACCTAAGATGTTTTGTTGGTTCTTGTTAGATCTACATTATCCTGTGATTGAGTTGCCATAGTTACGGATGATTTGGACCTCTGCTCTGATGATGTTTTCTAGCAAGACTGAAACTGAAATGAGCAGGGTCATGTCCTATACCTGTGTGGTGAAGTATGATACAAAAATAAAATTATTCTTTGATCAATCAGTGGCTTTAGATTCTTCTTTCCAAGTGTGCAAAAGTTTGCAATAACTTTATCCTGCCACATAGCCTTTTAAAGCAATAGAGAATTGGTAGCCAAATAGCTACTTCAGGTTAAGTGTAAAGTGTATACATGAGAATCAGATGATAGCTGACTGGTCACTTGACATGCAGAAACAACAAGAGCCTTTTTTTTTTCAAATCTCATTTTTCATTTCTCTGCTGTAGCAAAAATCAATATTTTGTTTAGAATAATAAACAACAGATTTTAAACAAAAATAATTACACCAAATAGCAACCCAGCAGCAAAGGCAGACAGAAAAAGAAAGTATAAACCTGAGAAAAGCACTCAACATAGTAAATTAGTAACACCAGATTATCAGCAAATTTAGCAGTTAAAGAAAATCATATGAATCGGATGTTTAGGACACTTATTGGAACACTTCTCAATTTTACCCTTATCAACATTTTTGTCACTGACTTGTACATATTGCTTGAATCAGAAGAGTCAGAGGAACATACAGGACATTTAGAAAACAACAAAGGCTTAAGAAAGGAACTTTTTTAGCTGCCAGTGTTGTTTACTTCATTATCAAATTGAGATAGAGTTACATGTATATACATTACCATTTACCACCATTTGCATTATTGCAGGCGGAACCTCTTTCGAAATTGCAATACAAATTACATACGTAACTCCAAGTACAAAAAGTCACCAATCTTTCCAGTGAAAATATCACTGATTCAAACCACTTTTTTTAAAGTGTTTGAATCTTTCTTCAAACTATCTACTAGTATTTAGTAATTATACAAATCTCACATGGCCTTGGTCCAAAACAAAACTAAGTCCACTGCAACACATTTCATCATCTTGACTGTCCAAAAACTGTCCGGTACTTTCCATCAACAAACATGGACGGAGATGAAAACAACAGTAACTATGGAAACAAAGGTACAAACAAACAAACAAACAAAATTATCACTGTTTTGTTGACAAATTTTTACCCAAGAAGATTTGAGTCCCTGAGTTGAGAAGTCTTCTTGGTCGCTAGTTTCTTAAGATGAGTTCTTGTTTCTTCTACTTCACACAAGGGTCATCATAAGAAGTCATCATCCAAGTCAAGGTCAGAGCTGACATCCCCGGGGTCAAGGTCATCCAGGTTCAAGGTCACGTCCAGGGAGGGGGAGAGGGAGGGGCTCAGACTGTTCAGATCTGGGGAAGATGAAAACAGTAGGAATCATCACACTAATACATGATTCTTGCAGTTACACAGCCATGTACATGTATGGCTTGTTTTAGGGATACATTTGTATTCTAGTCCACAGTTTTTAATGTTGAGCATATTGTAGCAGTTCATGATTTTCTGCCTTATTCCTGGTTCTAGCTCATCTCACATATGCTAAATGTATTACTTCTTTCTAAGATAAAGGCCTACCTGAAAAAAGGTCAATTTCCCAAGAACTAACAAAATGCAAGGACTAACAAAACACCCTAAGCAAAGATAACAGCAGCTATGACCCAGCACTTATTAACCTTAAGCCTGCTAAGGCACCAGCTTTGTATTGGTTACCGGGTTAGGTAGCAGGGAGAAGGTTAAGATGAACAAAGAAGTACACAAGATGAACTGACCATTGTCCCTGTGCCTTGTACTTGTAGCAGGCCTGGGCCTGAGATAGTCCATGTTGTAGGAGAAGTCAGAAGACTTGTGGCTGGCGATACTGGGAGAACTCAGGTCAACATCCGTGTCGATATCGGACGTGTCGAAAACTCCAGTCATACGAGAACCTTTACTGGTGTACGGTCGCCTCTTGGACTTGCTGTTGTCTCTTATATTCTCTGTACAACAAGTTTAACAAGTGTCATGTATAACAGCAACATAATCATACAATGTTAGAGAACCAATATGTTCTTTTCCTGGTCACACACATGCATGAAGAAAAATTCACATCATCTCGCTTTGAATTAAAGGCTAGAAAAAACTTTGGTTCAATCTGATTCTTTACCGTAACAGTTTTATGGACTTCCTACTACATGCACAGGTTCTTACCTGTGTGTCTGTTCCTTCGTTGGTTAGTGTCCCCTTGTGTCCTGTCTATTTGCCTCTGGATACTTCCTACTGAGTTCCTGGGTACAAAATAAATATTTACAGTACTTTAAGTATATGGTTCCCCTCACACCTATGTAGATATATGTACATGTATAGATCAACACATCACAACAAGCAAACATGACTGTATAAATAATGTAAGGAAAAGATCCCGAGAATGTTTGCATCAAGAATTACATACACCATGTACTAGCATATCCAGAGAAGTCCCTTAGTGACAATGGTAAAATGTGGGAAGATGTCATAGTTATGTTATAAAAAAAGGAGTCAAGATTATTGACAATTTCAATGTTCCTTACTTGAGTTCCTTGATCTGTTTGAGAGTCTCTGATTGGTCGGCTGACACCTTGCTTGTGTCATGTGACTGGGATCGATGGTTCTCCTGTAGGGACTTGATAGTCTGGAGTACAAAGAGAAGATACATTGAAATTTTAATCAAAAACAATTTTCACTTACATTTATATCTCCAAGGTGAGCATAATATGCATGATAAGAAGGCACAAAAATAACTTCCAAGCATATGCTACAGGAAAATAGATCACACATACATGTACCTGTGTCCAGATCTTTCAGATTCAAAATACTGGTACGATTCTTTCATTCATCAATTACCTACTCCTTGCAGTTAACTGTTTACTAGTCACTGGTTGCAGTACCACAAGTACATTTGTAACTCACACATCAAACAATTAATCTCCAAGCAGATCTTTTTCAATGGGGTAAGACAGTATCAAATGCATTGGCCAGTCTGTATGCATCTTTCGATGGGCAAATGGATACAGGCTGGCCAATTTGATACTGTCTTACCCCCACCGAAAAAGATCTGCTTGGAGATTACAAACAAAAACAACAATTTCCCCCACCTTGTCTACATGGTCCTGTCTCCTGCTGATGTCTCTTGCTTGGGAGATGGATGTGGCCAGGTCCACTTCTTGTTTTACTGGGGGAGAACACATTACAACTCAATTATACATACTGTACTGAACTGTGTCACAAAAAAAAAAAACTTGGAAATTCATTTCAATACACACATACAATTGGAATCCTAAATTCTACATAGAACAACTTCTTAGAGTGACTCACCGATCCTGGTCTTCATGCCCTCAATTTCCCTTCTGAGTGCCTCACATTCGTCTTGAAGAAACCTCTTACTGTAAGAAGTCAAGATCAACCAGATGTCAATTTAGATGACAAAGTATCTAACAGAGTAAAATTTAAAACAAAATGTCATCATAATAAAAAAAGGCCAACCTTGTTTAGGTACAGGCACAGGCCCAATCCTGTACCTAAACCCTGTACCTGTACTAGCAGTAGCACCTGTATCTAAATTTTCTTCAGGTCCACAGTTCAAGGCCTCCATACACTCGCACTCACTTTACAAAAACCAAACAACCCCAGTGCAACTTTGCAGATGAAAACATGTCTTCCTGGGCCGAGATAATATCATCATATATTATAGAATTGAAGTTGAGATTATGATTGCTAATGCAGTCCCACCTCTCCTGT